CCGTATGTGCTGGGGCTTGTCAACCCCACTTCTACTACCATAAGAAAAGAGGCTCTGCACTCACCTTGAGTGGGTGTCCTTTCATGGTGTGAAAGGGATATAGTGTGAGTGACCCTCCTCCACCAAACACCTTTTAGGCCATATATGCTCTTCTATAGTTAGCAAGGGATGCCATGCTTTGTTTTGGAGAATACAGCTTTAAAAGAATAAATCACAGGGCAAGAGGATGATACTATGGATGTGTGTCCCACAGTTCATGGCTGGAGTTAGCAACAGTTTTTTTTTGTTTGTTTGAATGAATGGAGGGAAGGCTGTGACACTAGAGGTTAGAGATCAAGCTGCTAAGAGTTGGGAGAATCAGGATGGGTGGGGAAAGTTGCAGAGATGGTAAAGCAGGAGACAGAGCTACCATGAGACAAGAGAAGCAGGTAAAGATGAAGGTAAGGTCTGGCGCACAGAAAAAGCAGGTGTGGTCTAGATGCAGGAACATGAGGATGTTTGAGAAGGCCTCCGGAGAAGGCCATAGCCTGCACATGTGGGGGATTGTCAGTTGTGCTTTTAAGAGACTGGAAGGTATGGTGCAAGTAAGTGACTGGAAAAGGATGTCACCTCATTCTTTTGCAGATATGGACTCAGATGGTGAATAGGAGAAAGTACTTAAAGATGTATCATCCACATTAGGATGTTCTTTTAAGTACATGGATTTAAGAATTGGCCTGCCACCAACCATCCTGTATAAAATCTTTTTTCAAAAACTGAATTGCATCTTATTGATAATATATTTCAGCATAGTTGGAGAAAGAAGTTGGCTCTGAATTTTTTGTACAATTGAAAAAAAGATAGATGCTTACTAAACTTTGGAATGTAACTTACTAGTTAAAATTTGCTTGAGTTTCTTCTCTCTGCAAATACTCAGATTGAATTCTGTTTTGCAGAACATTGTTCAGATCTGTATTGTACCAGAGTTTTGATGGTGTCTGTAGCCCAGAAGCCAGGATAGTTGTAAGAAGTTTAATTGTTGGCTACCATTCATCTCGGGCAATTCACTTGGTCTCTTTGTGTGTTGAATCCTCGGCTCTATTTGAAAAATAGGAGATCAAAGTCCTGTCTTAGAACGATTGACTGCATCAAATCAGAACTTAATTGGGTAAATAAGTTCTATAAAGAAAAATAAATCTAATGTCACATTCCATTTATACCCTGGCTAAATAATCTCAGAGGACTAAATCTTTACCTTACAAAACTTTAATACATGATCTGGACATTGTGGTATATTAGTCATACAAAACATTCCTTCAGAATAACCAGCTCCTATATTCAGGGTTTGTGCATCTTGAAATATATGGTGTAGACAGTTCAAGCACTGTTGTTGAAAAGTGTTGGTGTTTTACAGACAAATGAAAA